TGGAATGTGGAATATGGAATGTGGAATATGGAATGTGGAATATGGAATGTGGAATATGGAATGTGGAATATGGAATATTGAATATAGAATATAGAATATAGAATATAGAATATAAAATATAGGATTTGGAATATAGATTACAAAATATAGAATATGTAATATAGAATATAGATTACAAAATATAGAATATGGAATATAGAATATAGATTACAAAATATAGAATATGTAATATAGAATATAGAATACAGATTACAAAATATAAAATATGGAATATAGAAAGTGATCGGACGAAAGGCTAACAACAGTTTCGAATACTCGGAGGACGATTTGAGAGGATAAGGAATATCTTGAAATCACAGTTATCGCGCATACATCCTCGACGCTCCTGTGAAACACGGCGCAAACTCTGAGCCTGGTCAACTGTTCCTGTCCAACGGATCGCAGCTGCTTCCAAGCCTGGCGTAACTTGGAGAAGAGGGTCGCGTTGGTGTCCAACGGTAGCCTGCAGGACAACCTTAACACCCGAGCGCCATTTACCAATTGGCATCCGTAGTCGTACGTCCCCTGGAAATTTCAGAGCCAAGGTAAAGATTTATAATTACCGAAGTTTCCAGTCGATTTATAGTCGATGCTATTCGGACGTGTCATTAGTCCGACAAGTCACGCAGTGTCTGCTATTTATTTTTAGATAATGAAACCTGTGTGAAACGAAATCGCCGGTGGATTAATTAGCGACATGGTTCAAATACTGGCTGCACGTGCCAGGTCTAGGATTATGGGATCCAGGTGTCTGGGACAGGGATGTGAAGACTTCTGAGACTGGGAAGTACTTGTCGTTGTACTTACAGCGTGGACTATTGCGCAAAATAAACGTCCACATGAATTACAATAAGAAGAAGCTAAATAAAAATTTCTTTCTTCCTTCGACAATTTGGATAACTGGAAAATATCGCTGAAAATAGTATGAATATTCTTAAATTCACTCATTTTCAAGTAAAAACGGAGAGCATATTATTTTATATTTAATAAAGTATTTAACAGTATTCGCTATTTTTGTTCTCTCGAGAATCTTCTCGAGAATCCATCGTATTATTATATTTAATCACGGATCAATATTAAGTAACGTGATACCTTGGCGGTTTCCTGAAACGACTGATGCTCCTCCTTCTGCATCTGTATCTCATTCGCGTTGCAACCAATCTCCATATGATTCTTCAGTAGAACGTTGTACAAATCGTTCAACCATTTAACAGCCTGCGAAAGAAACAACGATAACTGTTTAACTTAAATAACTTTAAATCGGTTGATCTTGAAAAGGAAACCTCATCTTTGAAACCTAGCCATGTATTTTATATTTTTTCATAAAAATCGTCGCTCAAAAGCTACTTGAATTCTGCAAATTTCGCGACATGTTCTTTATTTTTAATTGGAAGAATAATTTGGAAGAATGATAAATATTTCATTATTATTATTAATTTATACCAATAGTAATAGATCATTATTATTATTATTAATTTATACTAATAGTAATAAATCATTATTATTATTAATTTATATTAAATTATATTATTATATAAATTACTAATAATTGTATAGTCACCTGTTCAGTATCCATTTCGTAAGTATATATCAACGCAATTTGTTTCAGGGACAGCTTCTGCAGTTCCACGCTGTCGTTGAAAATATTCTTCCTCGCATTTGTCGCATCTAAAATATCTCGGACATTTACTATGTCCTCGCCGTAGTCGACTCGCACATCTCGGCCCAGGGCATCCTTCACAGGCATCGACAGTATATCCGACAATTTCTCACCTTCCTTCACCAGCTCGCATTCCAGGGATTCTAGAAATTTGCGCACGGTGAACAGATATCTGCACGCGTCGCAACAAGAGTTACGTTGACACAATCACAAAATTGAGGACGCCGTAAAATTGACACCGACAAAATCCACGATTCTTAGTCTTCTTTAATTTCCACCGAAATATCCAACAGAAATCCCTGCTTATTTTAATGAACGAAGCGTCTACTACCTGTCACTTTTCACCGTAAAATTACGACAAAAAAAATCGCAGATCAACTTTATGATGGTTATTTTGAAGAAGAGAGTTGTATGATGTAAGATAATAATGAAACGAATATGGAACAAATTTTTTTTAACGAGTCGATTGAATTTCTGAAATTTTTAGGGAAGGGGGACTTCGATTTCTCTCCCCCACATTTCACAGAAAGGTGTCGAAATAAAACTTGAAATACACGGCTTGAAAGCAGAAACTCTGCGCTTTGAAACGAGTCCGGGTAGCATATTCTCAGATTTTTTACGCTAAGTTAGAGGAGCTCGAAGGTCAACGATATTCTGACTATAATTCAGTTGTCTACGAATTTTATGAATTTACAATATATTGAATTTTTTAACGATTCTCTCCGATCGATTACTTGATAAATTTTCGTCGGAATCTAACAGAGCACTTAATGGAGCGTGATAATTTTCAAATCAGACAACTATAATTACATTTCGAATTAACTTCGAATTTATTTCGAATATATAATATTACTAATATAATATATATTACATATATTATAATAATATATGTAATATTATATATATTATTACTGTATATATAATGTCTTACAAGCTTTCGAATTTAGTCGAAAATGTCTCGCAATCCGGAAATGGCGGGTTCCTCAGATCATTTGAAGCAACTTCTTCCTTTACAAAAATTTTCTCCGAGGTACCGTTAACGAGTTATTAACGAAAAACAGTGACCAATAAGAATCAAGTACGGCTGACGCGAGGCAGCCCAGCCAACCAGCACACGAAGGCCAGTTCCGCTCATTGGCTCGATCGCCTCGCGCCAGCCGAGCTCGCCTCTCATTGGTCACTGTTTTTCGTTAATAATTCGTTAACGGTGCCTCGGAGAAAATTTTTGTAAAGGAAGAAGTTGCTTCAAATGACCCGAGGAACCCGCCACTATATATTATTACTGTAATATAATATTACTTTCAGCACGAGAAAACCTGCTCCGCTGTAATCAATTAATTGCGCCGACGTAATGATAGTTCGTCGCCGATATTTACCAAGATTCGCCTGACTCTGTTGCAACTTGAGCAGATTGCCGCTAGCCTGCGAGAAGTCGTGAGTCCTGTTGCCCATCACCAATCTATCGAACACCTCGCTGGTCTTGTCGAAATACTATAAAACGACGGGAACGGAACTCAGTCGGTTTTATCGTATTCCGTTTGTATTTTTTTTTCTTTTCTTTTTTCTTAACCGCATACCTCGGAGACCAGTCTGAAGAATCTCTGCGAAGTAATTAGCACGTTCCGCCGCCTCTCGAGCCGGGTCGCGAAGCTCCGACAAACGAAGTCCATGAAATCCCTCTGCGACTTCAAATCCTCGGATAGACGAGTGCTCGGCAGGCTGTCGATTTTGTGAAGCAACTCCGCATAACGTCCGTACGTTTCCTGAAACGAAAGTACATTTCCGTTCGAAAATCTTGCCGCTATCTCGATGTGCATTATTATACAGGGTGTCCTAAAAACTCCTCTTAAAAACTCTTACAGAAGCATGAACGAAAATCGTTTAAACCATACTTTCGAATTATTTATTATCTTTTACTCTTTTATTGTTATTTATTTATTTATCTTTTACTTTTATTTACTCTTATTGACTCTTACACAGGGTGTCCCAAAAATGTCTCGCAATTAGTAAGTGGGGGGTTCCTGAGGTCATTTGGAGCAACTTTTTCCTCAACGAAAATGTTCTACGACGCTCCGTTTACGAGTTATTAAGGAAAAACAGCGACGCCCCGCCCTCGCGACCACTACCGCCGCGTCAGACGGCCAGCGCGACGCGGTATAGACCGCTAGGGTGGAGCGCCGGCCGCGCTCGCACTCCGATTGGTCACTGTTTTTCGTTAATAACTCGTAAACGAAGCGTCGTAGAACATTTTCGCAAAAAAAAAAGTTGCTTCAAATGATCCGAGGAATGATCCCATTTCCGTATTGCGAGATATTTTCGACTAAATTCGAAAGCTTGTAATTTCTAATTTAAAAATTTTATAATTTCTTATCTGAATTTTTTATATCTAAGCTTCGATCATGTAAAACTTATCTTGAAACGTGGTGTAACAATTTCAGTGATGCGCCAGAGTCACCACTCGAGTGCAAAGAGTTAAAAAATAATACTTTATAATATAACAGATATAAATAATAAATTTAAGGAATAAATTGTATAATTAAATAAATAACCTTGACAATCGGTAACTATAAAAAACGAGACGCAAGGCTCGAATAATTGTCGAATAATTTAATAATTTAATATAATTATTGAATAAAATAAGAGATAATAAGATAATAAGATAATAAGATAATAAGATATTAAAATAATAAAATAGAAAAATAGAAAAATAATAAAATAATAAAATAATAAAATAATAAAATAATAAAATAATAAAATATTAAAATAATAAAATAATTTAACCGCGGAGAAGCGAGAGAAAGGACTTTCGGATCGACGATAATCCGAGACTTTCGAGGAATCGAGAAGAATCGTCCGCGAGGCGTCTGCTAATGGAAGGAAAAGGTAGCCGCGGGCAGCCTAATTAATCGGTCGACGGAGTGGGCCGGCGAATAATCGCACCCTGCATTCGAGCTCCAATTCCTCGTGCCGCCTTCGCAGCTCCTCCGAGGACGAAACGTCGAATCCGACCTGGCAACAGGAATTCAGCATTGCGTCAGCGGGCCCAAGGATCCAATCGGTGACGCGGGACACACCCTTCTCGAGATCGCCGATTACTCTGGCGGTGTCCAGGTTCCTTTCCATTTCGGACCAGGAATTTTCAATGTCCACCTAAAACCAGCGTCGAAGAAGAAGAAAAAAAACGGAGAGAAAGAAACGGCGCATCGTTCGATTTACATAAACATCGGAGCGAGCGTCTCTCGGCCGATTTAGAATGCCGATGGGTACCTTCTTCAATTCGATGGAATCGATAAGCTCGTGGATTCGTTTCGTCGTGTCCGAGACATCCTTCGCGGACGCCCTGCTCGTCGAATTCACCAGGCTTCTTCCTGAAAAATCATTCGTTCGTGCCTAATTATTTCTCGTTGTTCTTCGGCTGCGAGAATGTCAAGAATTATTTTTGGAATTTCTTTCTTTTTTATATATTATTTAATTCGTGCTTCCTGTAACTATATATATTATTTATATTTATTTATATTTTATTAACATATTTATATTATATATATATATATATATATATATATATATATAAAATTTAAATCGAATAAATCGGTAATAGAATTTTCTATTAACGTTTCTATTAACGTTTTTTCTATTAACATAGCGCTTCCTGTAACTAAACATATTATTATGCATTAGGTTTATGTTATTTTTTTTTAAGT